TATTGGCACCATTTCTGCGTCCGCTTCTGCTACCACGCCTCTTTCCAGAATGTACCGGTCAATCTGTAGACGTTGCGCATCCAAAAACATATTAAGCTATTCATCCTCCTGGCATGCACTGCTCATGTTAAAACGATCTGAAATCAATCAAGAACAACCTTGTCCGTTTCAGTTCCCTCACAAAATCAAGTACTATGAACTAAGTGGGTTGGCCTAGAATTACAGCAAAAACTTGATTGAGGATTGGGATTTAAGAAATCGAAATGTATCATTACTTTGGCTTTTTGTTCTATAATTGGTTTGCGGTAGCTTGGTATTTTTTCGCCACTTCAACTTAGGGGTATAGTAAACAGATTTTGAATTTTATGACGACTTCATGAAGGCTGCTCAGTTCGAATCTGAATCACCTCCGCTAATGGCCAGTGCTTCCACCTTCCTGCATTTTATTCTTGTTCATCCGAAAAAAACGTTGGTAATATCCTTCACCATGGTTTTTCACTCCTCTTCCCCGTCCGTCCTAGAAGAGGATTGTTGTGTGGTAAATCGCATTTGGGAGCAATTATTTGACATTCAAAAAAGTGCTCAAATATGCACAAATTTTGTAAGTTATTGGCAAATATTTAGTGAATCATGTCCTTATCTGCTTAGGATAATCACTAAAAACATTTTTTAGCTGCGAATCAGCCCTATGTTGTGCTTGAAATGGACGAACCGGCGCAAAAATTCCAGACTAATCCAGGCCTCAATATGAGCCCATATTGGGAGGAATCTTTTGACTTGTAAGTTTTTATGCGTTTTTTGCAGCTATGCAGTGCAGAAAACGCATATTGACGAGGGGTTGTCTGTGTGTGTGTGTCTGTGTGTTCGTCTGTACCGATTTTTCATCTCGAGACCTACGAAAGCTACAGGGCTGAAATTTTAGGAACTTAATCTACATGCATGTATGGGCTCCCATCCCCAAAATGGGCGGTCTTACCCGGGCTCGTAAAAGTTTTTTACGGGTAAATCATTAACTCGCGAACCAGAAAAGCTAGTAAGATGAAATTTTAAGGGAATTTTCCCCGTCAACGTTAGTCTCATTCAGCTCAAATCCAGCCCTCGGGTGTGCGTGGTACCCACGTACGGGCCCGCCAAATTTTTTTCGGATGATTTGATAACTCGGGCATCTGAGAAGCTAGAAGGCTGAAATCCTACGAGGATGTTCCCCGTCCAAGTAGGTATTAATGTGCTCAAATTCAGCCCCCGGATAAGCGTGGTACCTATGTGCGGACCAGTAAAATTTTTTTTTGGGGTAAGTTGTTAGCTGGGGAACTTGAGAGGCTAGAAGACTGGAATTTTGAAGTGATGTTTCGTAACAGTTCTGGCGGCCAGTCTGAAATTCTTTCAACTAGAAGCATCTGCTGGAAAAACCAGTGCCGAAAGCGACAAAAATCTGCGGGAATCTATGCAAAAAACGCATCTTCACACGGGCAGCCCGTGCGTTGGCCAGTTATTTATGTTTAACTAAAAGTGTTTCTTTGTTGGTGCATACGCATGCCTAGAAAACATAGACAATAGCTTATTTCTAACTGACCTCTGAGTGACTGCTGTTGGCGGGTGCCACCACTCGAGCTACTTGCGAGTACCTTCGTTTGTCAGAAGGCAGTGAATGCGGAGCGCGTTTGACTTTGTTTTTTTTTATTGAAGATGCATTCAAACATCGGTAATAACAGTGAATTTCAGTGAACTGACAGCAGCGTCGGAGGAAATCCTTTTTGAGGTGTATGAAAGTGAAGTAAAAGGCGGTGTTGGTGCGCAGCACGAATCCGAAGATGATCGTTTTCTGGGCCTTGCAATTGTGGGTCTAGAC